ATTACTCTAAAGTACTTAGATTTTTAAATCATAAAAAATGATCTCATCAATACTTCTTATTACCTATAGGTACTCCATGGACCCTGGCATTCCATTAACTTTTAATCTGGAATAAAATATCATATAAAACTAAAATAAAATATTAAAGAGTTTTAAACTCTTTAATAATCAATATTATAATTTAACAACTATTTACAAACTTTGTAATGTTACAGGTAGCTTAACATTTAAAATTGTTTGTTTGTAACTATAGAACTTTAACAAACTTTTAGATGTATCTCGCAGCTAGTATATGAAAGAACAATATTAATTTTCGACGAATCACTAATAAAAAATTTAATCCTCTGACAAAAATGATTTAATACTATAAAATTGATAACAACTAAACAACAAGTAACCGGATACTAACAATAAGTATAACAAAAAATAAAGAATTACATTTTTAATAACTTTAGGTACCTTTCAATAAAAATAAAACTATCACTGTATAGGTACAGTATAACTTTTAGTACTTATGTATTTACTGGTGTTAATAGTATAAATATAATTGTCTACTAATACTGAACATAATATAACGGTAAACTAATTTTCTAGTTTATTCGAGTTTTCAGCAATTTTAGTTAAACGTACATTAACATTGCATTGTCGTAACTGATTTATGAGGTCGTTACGCGGCGTATACAAATAACAATTAACAGATAGGTAAGATAGTTTGATACGTACTACACTGTTATTGTACTATATATGTACAAATATTATATCAAAACTTAGTAGGTAAGTGTATAGAAAGAAGAAATAACAATATGAGAAATTTGAAAACGATTAAAGCATATCACACTGGAACGTGCTGTGTATATAACTATACTGTACCACAGACAATTCAAAATAGTGCGAGAGAACTGCGGARGTTGTGTTTTCGGTTAGGATTTATRATTCCGATACAATAAAATATTGTTAGGCATACGGTTGGCCAATTTTGTACACGATGATAATATAGTCATTGGTGAGTGGTGACCRTCTCGAAAACCCGGGAAGCTTCAAGGCCCCCAYGCTGCATACACTGTAAATGTAACTGAAACTATACTATATGAATTATGGAAGGGAGATTTCTACATAATATAAGCATGAAACTGAATCAACATAAAATAATTCACGTATAAAGTAGCGTGATATTTCCGTAAAATACAAATCGTGGTTCGTCCGATCATTTCGAATTAGCACGCTGTCGGTGCGATTCGTGCAGATTTTTCATAATTGTATTTACGACATGAGTTCAGATTGTATTTTAAGGTTATTTTGTTTAATACGTTTATTTCATACTGATTTGGTTTACTAGTAGTTCAGTTAACGTAACAAGTGATTATCACAGTTAACGATCAAAAATATTAAGGATATAAACCTAACACCATCATGTTCGTTCCTTTACTTGTATTCGTGTCGTTGACGGATGTTTTCGGTTATTATTTAGCTGATTTGACTATACCACAAAACCCGCACGAACAGTCGGAATACATTTACGAAAAGTGTTTGTCGATGAACAAAATTATCTACGAAGACCGTTGTTGGGACTTGTTGACTAAAGGACCGTGCGATGAGGGTTAGTGACAAGACACTTTTTTTATTGTATTGAATATACCTTCTTACCTTACTTGTTGTTTATTTATAATGATTAATAATCTATTTTTACAAAGAATACAAAAATAAATTTAATATAAAAACAGTAATGAGTTGCAAAATGGAGAAACATCTAGATAATATAGCTGTGGAGTAGGTCTATGAAATATGTTTATATGCGTTTTAAATTAAATATTACAAAAACAAACAAAAAAGACCAATATTCAAGTAGGTATAATGTATATAACATATCGCATCGAGTAAAGTGAAAGTTAAAAAATACTATTAGTTACCTAATATTTGTATGCAAAAAATAATATTTAAAAAAAAACGAAATGTTTTATTTATTATTTTTAATGTGAGAAACATTTAAACATTTAAATATTTAAATAAAAAAACTTTAAATATATAAGCACCTATATACAATGACAACAAGATCGTTAACACCGTTGGTTTTTGTACACTCGCCTTAATCTCCTCCCATCAAAACTGTTGATACTTCATAAAAAATGTATTTATTTACTTTATTTGATCACGATAAGATTAATATAACGAAATTGGTATGTTANTGATCACGATAAGATTAATATAACGAAATTGGTATGTTAGTTTATGGTTGAACTGATACGTAGTCTATTAGTTGTTATAAGTTCTGACTTGGATATAAGTATAACTTAAAAAGAATATACCTATTGGCTATTTGGTTATTACTATTGAATTCTGTTTTATTTATTATTTATGTAAACTATGATAAGGCTAGATGTTATTTAAAATAAAATATATAATCTAGTGAATGTTTATGTAAAATATTGCAAATACAATTTTATTTWATAATTTTCATAAAAGATTTCAATAGAAAATACATAAAAATCATATTAACGAGTAAGAATAATTTTCTTTATTTTTCAAATTAATTAATTAAATTATTGTAAAACACTAAAACGAAACCTAAAATGATTGCTACTGAAATTCTGTGTCATACCTAAACATAAACATTCATAACTATATGAGTTTGAACTTACTATCTGTAACTTAAGACGAAATTTATTTTATTTAACGAATCCAAAATTTAAGTACCTACTATACTCATATTAATTTCTAAACAATCATCGTAATTAATTTACATTTACATAAAAAAACAAAGATTAAACTGTGTGAAATAAGATAAGCGCATGAGTTAACAATTAGACAATTAAAATTGTAAAGAACCTTGAAGATTTCCTTAGTCCTAGACAATTAAAACACTTTAACAACGTGCAAATGTAGAACCAAAAAAAACTGAATGTTAGACATTTAGTATTTGTAGCCGTATAATAATGGTTAAATAATAAAAATGTAGCAACTAGTTCTTAAAACTAAAAAGAAATAAT